TTTTTTTTTTTTTAAACTGTACTTTTGGGTGGTTTTTCTTTTTTCTTTTTTGGTTGGTCGTGGGGCTTGAACTCTGGGCTTGGGCGTTGTCCCTGCGCTCTTCAGCTCAAGCTGAGAGCTCTACTGCTTGAGCCACAGCACCACTTCCAGTTTTCTAGTGTTTTACTGAAGAGTCTCACAGACTTTCCTGCAGAGCTGGTTTGAACCATGATCCTCAGATCTCAGCCTTCCGAGTAGCTAGGATTACAGGCATGAGCCACTGGTGCCCGGCTTTTTTTTTTTTTTGCCAGTCCTGGGGCTTGAACTTAGGGCCTGAGCAATGTCCCTGAGCTTCTTTTGCTCAAGGCTAGCACTGTACCACTTGAGCTACAGCACTACTTCTGGCTTTTTCTGTTTATGTGATAGTGAGGAATTGAACCCAGGGCTTCAAGCATGCTAGGCAAATACTCTACCACAAGCCACATTCCCAGACCTTGAGGGTTCTGGGATGCTGAAGGTAGAACTCAGGATGTTACCAGCCTGCCAGTTGACCTCTTATCCTTCATACACATGTGTTATTGGGCCTTGTCACCCAGTATAATTTATGCTTTTGAAATGCTTTTTAGCTCCAAGAAGGCAAAGGACTATATCCTCTAGATCCAGGTTCATGAGTGTTTAGGCCACGTGAAACAATCCAGACAAAACACCATGCTGAATGAACTTCAAGACACTACACTTCAAGACACTACAAATCGACAAAACTGGGATTCATAGTTCCATCTCAGACACGCAAACCGTAACTTGGAGAGAAATGCGGCCAATCTGTAGGGGGTGGAACCTAGTTGTGAATACAAGTCTATTCCATTCACGGCAGAAAAGGACCACGTGCTTCCCCCTCCCCGCCCCCAGCCCGCACACTACTTAGCCGACTGGCTCCACATTTGATTAGATGGACGTAAATCACGTCTTGAATAGTTTTTGTCGGGGACCAGAAGCATGAGTGTGTGTGTAAGTAGGGGTGACCCTAAGACTCGGGGAGAGGGGCCGGGGAATTCCGGGGCGCTGGGATTATTAAAGCAGTAACTATGGAGGGGCGCCACAGGCCCGGAACTGATACCCAAGGGGCAGAGCCCCGCCAGAGGGACGAGGGTGGCCCAACCGGAAGCTGGAGTGCGGGGGATCCCAGGAGCCCTCCAGGCCGCCCGGGGCGGGGGTGGCCTCGGCCCTCAGAGGCAGGGGGAGGGCGGCGGGCGCGCGGGGCTGCTGGGTGGGCCAGCGCCTCGGGCCTGAGAGCCGAGGCCGCGCGGGCGGTTACCTCCTGCACGCCGCCCTCGTGCTGCTGCGCCATGGCCAGCAACATGCCGTCGAACCGCTCCTCTTCCTGCTCCCCGCCCATCGCTCCGGTTCCGATCTAAGCCCCGATCTCCGCACTCGAGACCCGCGCTCTCCTGCCCCTCACGGCAGCGTCCGACCCAACGGCTCCGCTCCTCAGTCTTCCGCTGCGGAGCCGGAAACACGCACGCGCCTGGCCGCCAAGGCCCGCCTGCCTTCCCTCCTCCCGCCTCTCCCCCCAGGCCAGCGGCCATTCACCGCGCGGGAAATAGCCCGCTTCGCTCACCATTGGGCAGTTGGATGAACCAATCAACAAGCGCATCCACGAAGCGGTAGGCGGAGCCGAGAGCCTAGGAGTTTGGCTTGAGTTGCTATGGTCACCAAATGCTTTGGAGCCTTCTAGAAACCCCTCGGTTAATTCTGACAAGGTTTGAAGTTAAGAAGGGACAGGCTTTCCTCCCCCATCTTGCTAACAACCTCCTAGCATATAGACCAGTGGAACTAACAGTTCTTGTCATTATTTCTTCCAAACCTATATTTGGCAATGGAGACCAGAAAGAAGGTGGTACGTACCTAAGAATGGCTCACTTGTGGGGCTGGGAAGGTGACTCAGTGGTAGAGTGCTTGCCTTGCATGCATGAGGCCCTGAGTTCGATTCCTCAGCACCACATAAGCAAAAAGAAAAAAAAGCTGGAAGTGGTGCTATGGCTCAAGTGGTAGAGCGCTAGCCTTGAGCTGAAGAGCTGAGGGACAGTGCCC